CTGTCTCTCTCTCTCTCTCTCTGTGTCAGTCTGTCAGTCTGTCTGTCTGTCTCTCTCTCTCTCTCTCTGTGGCAGTGGTGGGTTTGAAAAAATTTTGGAACCTCTTCTGTAGGTGTGGCCTGATTTCCGGGTCCACTTGTGGAACCTCTTCTAACTGGTTCGGTAGATTTGACGAACCGGTTCTACCGAATAGGCGCGAACTGGTAGGAACCCACCTCTGCTGCCCACCCACCCACCCTGCAATTCCGGGACCCATTCATAATCCAACCACAGGGCCACAAATAAATGAAGCCTCACCTTAGTCACCAAGTCCGAATGGCGGATGATCGCTCGGACAAAGAATCGGTAGTCGGTAACCTCCGCTCCGGCCTCAACCTTCGCTGCCCCCAGATAGAGGTGCATCTTGTGATTGGCACATGGGATGGCGGTGAGGTCAAAGTTGCGCATTCGGTTGAGCTCCAGCTGGAACGCCAAGGCCGGTTCCAAGTGGCGGTAGATTCTGTCCTCTTCGAACTGGGAAGGAAGCAAAGACATTTTACGCAACTGAGGGTAGACGACGTGGCGCTCACTAAGGTTCCTCATCCAATACCAAGCTTCCAGGAAAGAGTGGCATTCAAATAACCTAAATAAATAAAATCAGGTTCATTTATCTAGTTTATTTATCTACTTATTTACCTCAGGGGCTGCCACAAAGAAGAAGGCGTTAGCCTGTCCTCCAAAGCACCAGAGAGCATGACAAAAAAGAATGGATGGAAACTAATCAAGGAGAGAAGCAACTTGGAATTAGGGAAAAATTTCCTGACAGAAAGGACAATTAACCAGTGGAACAGCTTGCCACCAGAGGTTTTGGGTGTGGGGTTTTAAAGAAGAGACTGGACAACTATTTGTCTAAAGTGGTAAAGGGTTTCCTGCTTGAGCTGGGGTTTGGACTACCATGTTTTCCCGAAAATAAGACAGGGTCTGTTTTTCTTTTGACCTCCAAAATAAGTACTTGGCCTTATTTTTCGGGAGGTCTTATTATTTTTGAGATGCAGGAGGCAGCGAGCATGGTCACCTCATGGCTGCTGCTGTGTTGCAATATTTTTGGGGAGGGCTTATTTTGGGGGGAGGGCTTATTTTAGCACATACGTTAAAAATATTGCTTTCATTGTCTTCATAAATGCATTAACAAACATTAATAAAAACATTAACCCTTACCTTATCCCTGGCACGGAATGTGAAGAATTTGGGGAATTCCCTCTGGAAAAGAAAGTAAAATTCGTATGGGAAATTATTATTATTGCTCATTAATCTCATGTCACTATTTTAAAGCAATTTACACTACTCTGCTGAACTTACTCTCCATTTTCCAAAGTTAAGCTATTCACTGGAAACTCTGAATAATCTCTCTCATTCTTTTTTAAGTGGATTTTTATTTCTAATTCTAAGATGCCCTGAAATTTTTTTTTTGAATGGGAGCAAGACATAATACTAGCCAAGAGAAGTTAACCAAGCGATTCTGCAAAGCACCTGAAAGCAGAGCAAGTAGCAACAATCACTTAAACATGAGCCAGCAGTGTGCGGCAGGAGCCAAAAAAAGCTAATACATCTCTTGGTTGTATAAACCAAGGCACAGAATCAAAACCACGTGAAATATTAGTCCCGTTTGTAAATCCTTAGTAAGGCCACACCTGGGAGACTGCATCCAGTTTTGGTCACCGCATTACAAAAAAGATGTTGAGACTTTGGGGAAAGTGCAAAGAAGAGCAACTAAGATGATTAAAGGCCTGGAGACTGAAACATAGGAAGAACAGTTGCAAAATTTGGGTTTAACTAATCTAGAGGAAAGAAGGACTAGCAGTCTTCTGGTATTTGAGAGGCTGCCACAAAAAGAACGGTCAATTTATTTTCCAAAGCAACAGAAGGCAGGACAAGAAACAATGGATGGAAACTAATCTATTTCATATAAATGAAATAAACATTCATTCAATCAAAGAGTGATCCAACCAGGAATTAAGGAGAAACTTCCTAACAGTGAGAACAATTAACCAATGGAACGGAAGTTGCCTCCAGAAGTTGTGGGTGCTCCATCACTGGAGGCTTTCAAGAAGAGTTTGGACAGTCGCTTGTCTGGAATGGTATAAGGTCTCCTACCTGAGCAGGAGGCTGGACTAGAAGACCTCCAAGGTCCCTTCCAACTCTGTCATTCTGTTAATTGTATCCTAACCAAGGACCTACTAATTGTTGGACCAGCCACGACTGAATCCAAAGAAGAATGCCAGAAACCTCGTCTAGTTCTTTGCACCGTTTCTAAACTCTTCCTTGCCTCTTGTTCTTCGGATGTTGCTCAAAGCTAATCTTTTTTTTTTCTTGATGCATTTGTCAGCATACTGTCACTAAACCGATTGCTCTCCCCCCCCCCCTTTCTTTTCAGCTCTCCAGTCTAGCACTTTCAGGCAAATATCCACTTAAACGCGCGTGGGCAAATGCAAACAGAAAGACGCAGAGGTGAACACATCTTCAGAGTTTTCATACCAAAATCCAAAAATGGAAAAAAACCAAAAACCCTTCCCGATTTCCTAGATGAAGGAATTATGCCCCTGCTGTGTTCTAATCAACCAACCATCATCAAGACAATCAGAATAATTCGCCTAAATTAACCAATCAAGACACCCTGCAAATTGGAGAATGCAAAAAGCTACATGAGAAAATCATCATAGCTGGTTATTATACTAATAATCGTGTTAAAAGCCTAATGAGATGAGGAAATTGGAAGCCTGCTGAAGCAACTCTCTATTACTTCAACATGCTGGGAAGTAATTATATAGACTGTAATTAAAACACAAAACCAGCCCTCGCCATGGCCACTAAGTTACGGTGATAGTCCAGTATTAGAACCAAAAGGGATGGGAAAAACCAAGGGCTGAACCCAGTTTCTTGGAAGGAGTGAGCAAGGGTGCTTAGAATTAGAAGGGCAGATTCCTCACATCTTGGATATAAACTCTTTCAGCTCCTCCCCTTGGGATGGCGCTATAGGGCATTGTGTGCCAAGACAACTAGACTGTCAGAGTTTGTTGCATAAATTCAAATCCAGAAAGCACACACAGATAACTGATTCAGCTGGATTCATTAACGTCTTTATATACATAAGAATAGATGAATAAATGTACAATACCAACAGGTGGTTCTTCCAAGTAAACACAAGGCAGGAGAGTTACAGGCGAACACAAGCAGTTAGCTTCATTTTAGCAGACAAGCCCAGAGACACTGCTAGTTTACTTCTCATAGCAGCAGACTGCTTTCTTAAGTTTCTGTTTCAATTCTCTGCACAGACTCAGATGTGTTTAAGCTCCCATTGGCTGACTTAGTTGCTATGCCTATTTATTGGCTGACCTTGTTCCCATGTCTCTCCCAGTCATGAATATTTTAACATAGACACAGGGACAGTTTCTTCCATCACTCTGACAAACACCTAACTCTCGCAGTTGAGGAAGCACGAGTACTAAGTTTTGTCTGATGTGTGTGTATATTAACCCATAGACTGTGGGTGTGGTATTATTTATCCTTTTATGAATTCTTATTCCCTCCTTCTACTGGCTACACTTTTTGTATTATTATTATTTTCTCTGTTGTTTTGCGAGTGCACTAAGTGCTTCTGTACCGGAGACAAATTCATTGTGTGTCTAATCATACTTGGCCAAATAAATCTTCCTTTCCCTTCCCTTCTTATTACTATTCCATTCTCAATAAAGGGTCTATTCTATTCTATTTCTTCTCAATAAGAAGTCCTATTCTACTCTATTCTCAATAAAAAGTATTCTATTCTATTCTACTCTACCCTACTCTACTCCTGTTATCAAGCTTGAAGCGTGCTTCTGCTGATGCAAACATTATGGCTTTTCAACTTGCCAAAGAATTAAGAGGGCAGGGGAGATGGAATGTAGGCTCCAGACTACAAGCCAAAGAACCATGAGGGCCAAGACACATCGGCAGGTGTCTGCCAAGTCTAGAGACTTTTTCCCATAACAAAATAATGACACTCAATTGGAGAACGTGACCTGCAGTAATACAAGGAGAGAGAATTCTATACTCTAACTATGTGGGTTCGTGCGGGAAATAATCAGAACTGGTTTTGCCTTCTTCAGTGCCGAAATAATGTACTCAATAAACTTTGCATTCAACCTTTGGAAAATCTGAAAGGTGTTTGCCTTGGTTGGGTCCGTTAGTCGGAGCTTTGACACCTGCACTATTCTGCCTCTATTCTAATTCTAATTCCGTCTGCTCTACTTCTAATTCTAGTTATTCTCGGCTCTACTTTACTTCTATTCTAATTCTCTTCTCTTCTCTTTTCCAGCATAACACCTGGCATAATAACTTTGCTAAAAAGTCCAACCCTCATTTTCCAGAGAAACAGACCAAGAACGCAGAGTAAGGTGTACGGCATATACTGTTGAAGCAACAGCAGCCAAAAATACAGTCTTTGAAATAAGATAACACAAATGTATTTGCTGTACTATCTGCAGAAAACATCCTACACTGCAAAAAGGGACAGTCCTCTTCACAGGTTAGACATTCTTCAAGAGAAGAATGTCCTGCAGTCATCTTGACCTTCTGTGGTAAAGCATGAATATATAAGGTAAAGGTAAAGGTTCCCCTAGCACATATGTGCTAGTCGTTCCTGACTTTAGGGAGCAGTGTTCATCTCTGTTTCAAAGCCGAAGAGCCAGCGCTGTCTAAAGACATCTCCGTGGTCATGTGGCTGGCATGACTAAATGCCGAAGG